ACAGAGAGAGAGAGAGAGAGAGAGAGAGAGAGAGAGAGAGAGAGAGAGAGAGAGAGAGAGAGAGAGGGGTCCCTTTGCAACCGTGATTGGTGTGCTGCTGTGACATGTAGCATCAGAACGCGGTGCTGTCTGTGCTGGGCAGGCGGAGAATGTAACATAGTAATTGAGTCAGGTGGAGTTAAATTTGATGCGGGAGATGAAAAGAATTAAGGATAGCTGGGAGATCATTCGCGCAGGAAGATGATGCATAGACCCAGGGAGGGCGGATGTACGTTGATTGCAGGAGTCTTTCGAGAAGTGTCAAAGAATAGAGGAGAGAAAGTCCATTGACGTGATGCCGACTGCAGGTGGTGAGGGAGAGACGTGCCAAATAATAGAAGAGACAAAGCCCTCGGGTTAGCTCAAGCAGTGCACTGTGGCATAGTGGCTGCCTCCTCCACGAGAGCAGAAACGTCCTACTGGACTGATGTCTGCTCAAGAGGTGAACAGATAAGGAGTGGGCAGGAGTGGAAAGACCTTAGCCCAAGGCCGTGTTTTGGAAAGGCAGCTCCTGGACATCCAATGGGTGACTCGCTGGCAGTATCAAGCATTGTGTTTGCATACATGGTTCTGCTGACCAACCTTCTCTTGAGGAGTGCTTTCTTGCGTGCTTGAAACTGGAGTGTGTATGTGACCCTGTGTGCCCCTAAATATGGCCAGCAGTGATGGCCACAGTTAAAGGTGCATACACTTGGGCAGGCGGAAGAAAGGTAGGGTAGCTGTCCAGGGAAGGGAAAAGCACTGTACACCTCCCGAGGGTAAAACAAGCCATCGAAGGACCGAAGGGTTGCTGGCCAGGGAATGAAAAAGCAGAGGGTACGAAGTAAGCAAGGGAAGTACTGAAGGGGTTTATGGTAGCTGGCCAGGGCTCGAAGAGCAGACGCTTCGCGTCTGAATCCCACGCATTGGAACCAAAGGATGCATTACATCCGCTTCGCAGATGATTTTCTTGTAGCAATCTCTGGTACACGATCAGAAGCAGTGAAACTGAGATCTGAATTGGAATCGTTCCTTAGAGACAAACTCCAGAAGCAAAAAGCGCTGTACACCTCCAGAGGGTAAGAAGTAAGCAATTGAAGGACCGAAGGCGTTTTCTCTGGCAAAGGGAGCATCCAATGTGTCATTGTCAGTTTCTACCTCCAAATTGGGATGGGCAATGACTTTGTTCTTAGATTGCTAAGCTTGGCGGTCTGTGTGACGGATGTGGAATTCACAGACTCTTTGTGTGCGACAAAGGAGCCATTACTGCGAACGTGTGGGAGAACATGAGAAGTGAGGATGGGCCGCGAATAGCACATTCACCCGGCACGGATAGGGATGGGGGTGAGCAATCCTCGACCATTCAGCTTCTCTGGGGACTTTTCGGAGTTGGTGTCCTGTTTTTTTTTTTTTTTTTTTTTTTTTTCTGACATGGCACCGGAGGTTGCTGCTGTGGGTGTGGGTTAATGTTGAAGTTTTGATCTAATGGTCTCCATGAGTGAGAGTGGTGGTCATCGTAGATCTCTAGTTGTCTATTTGCTTTCTTTGTGGGCGCTACAAGTTTCATTGCTTTCCTCTTCACTGGAGCGGAGCATTTGATTGTTTTCTTTCTGAAAGAGAGAAGCATGTGCGCGCCACTCTTTAGTCTGCGATGCAGCGGAGCATTTGATTGTTTTCTTTCTGAAAGAGAGAAGCATGTGCGGCAGCAGTTTTTTGTCTGCTGAAGGCTGCATCTCTTTGTTTCTCTCATTCACCTTTCTTTGCCATTTGGCCATCCATGCTCTGTCAGTGCAAAGTGCCAGCTTTGTCAAAGCTGGAAGAATAATCAGCCTGCGGCATGCATTGTTTATGTAACACATGGAGTAGCCTCGTGTGGTACAATCATTGTCGTTTGTAGCTGTATTTGGAGGGGACTCGAGTCCCTTCTCGTCGTCAGTGTGTTGTCCTCTTCTGGTCTCCAGGTTGTGTGTGCATCAGAGCGTGTCCAATTCTCTCGGCATGTGCTGCTCGAGTGGTTTATTACCTTTCTATTCAAAATTTCAAAGTTTAACAGTTGGTGAAATGCAGGATCTAAGTCTTATTCAAAGTTTAACAGTTGGTGAAATCCAGGATTTAAGTCTTGCTGAGTAAGTTGCACATCATTTGTAACACCAGACAATAACCGGTAATAAAAATTATAAAATTCATATACTGTTTTTTTTTTTTTTTTCCAACGACTTGTGCGCTGGTTGTTGTTTCCTATTCCCTGCGCCTCTGCTTTTTCTGTGACGAAATGCACGTTATTATGAATACAAGAACAGGTCCAGATGTTGCTGTTAGTCTCAGCATTTACGTAAATGCCATGCTCTTTTAAGTTTTAACCTAGGCCATGGCATGTTGCAGTCCACGTCACTGCTTTAACCGTTTTGATGGTCAACGGTAACCATTTTTTTTTCCCATTTTTTTCCATTTTTTTTTTCCATTAACCTATGGTTTACGGTTGCTGCAGATTGTTGCCTTCTTGTATGTTCTTGAAGTCTCGAATATCAGTGCCGATGGCAAGTGCCGTCTGGGGCAATCGGATTTGCGGTTTGTGAATTCTACGGTTGGTAGTTTAACGTGCTCATATTCAGGAGGGCAGGGAACTTCTGCTTTAGAAGGTCTGTTGTTTGGCATGGTCACCCACCTTGGATTGCATAATAGAGTTTATGTATTTGCAGTCTGTTTGTGGCCTGCTGGCGAATGCGGGCTTGTGAGAGAGGAGAGTTCTTTCCATATTGTCCTTTCGTGTACGGACGTCACAACTTTTTGGTTGGATGAATTTGGCTTTAATTTCCAGTTGTGTTCAGTGGCTCCAGCCGGTTTCATATGATTCTGAATATGCCCGTTAGTGTTTTGTGAAGATGTCCTCCTAACGTTTTTGCAGCGCCGGTGTTTTGGAATTTAGTGTTCTTTGCTAGTCTACCAGCCGGGCCGCCCGGGTCCCGGGTGGCCAGCCCGTGCAAGGACAAAGAAGCGTCCCAGAAAAAAAAAAAAAAAATCCAAAAAATCCGAAGAAAAACTATGTTATGCAGAAAAATAAACTGAACAACTTTTGCCTCAGGGTGACATCGAAATTCTTTACCAAATTTAAAATATAAAATAAAATGTTAAAATAATTTTTATTTTTTAAAAATTTTAAATCTTTTTGGCCCGGCCGGGCAAGTGACCCCGGGCCACTCTGGTAGCCTAGGTTCTTTGACCCCTTTGGGGAGTAAACTGTGTCTCCTGCTCAGGAATGTCGCCAGATCCTTTTTTTCTTGGGGAAGACAAAGATGCAAGGGAAATGCGCAAAATAGCGAATGACAGAAATCCAGATTGCAAATTCACATTGAAAGCCAGATAGTCGATCACTGTCCAGAAAGCAGAAATGCACTGAAATGACAGCGGAGGAGAACGAACGCAGCGAACTGAATTGTGAATGAAAGCAAGTTATCGCCATCACCACATATGCGATCGAAGTTCTGCATCCTATTGGCGCTCAGCACCCAGACTACTTCCTACAGCTACTATCCTATACTACCAAACGACGATGCAACCCGTTGACGTCAGCAGCATACTAAAGTACAAGCAGATGTCGACCATTTTGACCATCGCCCAGACCAGGTACGTGCCCTCACATCACCATCCTCGTCTCTCTCTCTCTCTCATCACCTCGACTTCTGACCCATATCTTCCCCGTACACGAAGATCACCACCACCTCCGCTGAGCTTCCAAGCCGAGCCCGGCTATGGATGGGCTGGCTTATGGTGCTGCTGAGGTTCCCTTGCACCCGTGCACACATGAGCACCTCTGTCAGCGCGAGCAAGCAGCCTGCTAGCGCAAGCTTCAGCAGCGCTGCCGCTTGCGCATGCGAGTGCCCGAATGTCCTCTCCCTGGCGACCTCTTCCCTATATGGAAAGTGCTTGCCCAGTTTGCTGCTGGGCTGGGAGGCGCGTGTGCCCTTTAGATTCGTGTTGGGCCAAAGTGTCTGCGCCCAGGCCCATTCAGACAGTGGCCTGGGACCGAATTGGTTACGAGTGCCCAACCCCCCAGGCGCAAACGTGCGGCGTTCCCCGCTTTGCTGGAAGAGCCTGGAAGGCTCACGAATATTTCAGATCCCAACGAGCACGACGGACGTAACCAACTGGCGCGTGGCAACTGCCTGGCGCCCGCGAAGATTTGCGAAAGTGACGACTTCAAGGCTCATTGGAAATCAGGGGCCTGCCTTGACTTAGGGCTGGCAGGCATCTGTTGCTGGGGCCTTATGCAGGTATGCGAAGGTGTAAAATCCTCGCAAAGAGGGAAACCTGGTTGATTAAGGAGTCCAAAGTTCCAACTTCTTTCGTGACACGGTGAGCTCATTAACACTTCGCTACCTATCTGAATGTGCGAACGAGCAGAAGGTAATGGGTTGCTGAAAAGCTTGGCTTTGCAGAAGAACAAAGTGGACCATGGAAAAGTAATAAGCCTTGAAGAACTACGATACACGAAACTTCCATTGAGGTTGCTGGGGACCCAATGAAGCACAGCCACAGTTGCAGCCAATCTTGTCTTGCAACTTGCTGAAGGTGTGATGCCATACCCAACATCAGTTGTGGTGGCTGAACATCTGCAGTCTGCACTGTAAGCTCTTCAATGTGTCCCCCATGATGTGAACTGTCCTTTTCTTCTGTCATTTCATTCCTAGGGAGGCTAGAGGTGTTCCTTTGCGTCCATCTATCCCTGTGGTTGTCCTTCATTGTGTCCCCAGCAACCTCAATGGAAGTTTTGTGGATCGCAGTTCTTCAAGGCTTATTACGTTTCCATGGTCCACATCTGTCTTCTGCAAAGCCAAGCTTTTCAGCTAGGCATTACCTTCTGCATTAGTTCGCACATTCAGATAGGTAGCGAAGTGTTAATGAGCCCATTGTGTCACGAAAGAAGTTGGAACTTTGAACTCCTTTTCAGGTACGCATTCTGCAGCGATTAGCAGATTCAGGTAGGTAGTGAATTGTCTGAGACCACCAAAATCCAGTAGTGGAACTTTGAACGTACCTTAATCAACCAGGTTTCCCTCTCTGTCTTCCGCAGAGCGGCATTCGTATCCCACTCAGTCACTCTTGTAGGATTATTAATTTATTTAGCAAATTAGCATTAAAAATATACGCTTTAGCAAGGTAGAAATCCAGCAACCAATCCAAGAGGCCTCTAGAATCGAATGGCAAGAGAATTGGGTGCACATCAGAGTAAGATTCCATAAGCCAACTTTTGATTCTCGCCATTAATATTTGGAATTGTAGTCCCGAGCCAGCAGTCCCTTTCCATGCGATTTTGTTCCACCGCGGCGGTGAGTGAAGACAGTGGAATCACGGCCTGCTGTTCTGTACCACTGGAAGGGCCAGCCTGGGGTAGTTGGGATACATTCCAACCTGGTGTTGGCAGGTGAAGAATTTGACACATTCGGACATTTGAAAACCCGACCTACACGGTGCTGTGTCATGGGAAGCCATACAAGCTGCTTCATCATACCGTGCACGCGTGTCAATGATGTGTGTGTGGACGTGGGCTGTCTAGACTCAAAGACTATGTAATATATCTCTATTTTTTTTATATAATATCTATATAGATATTATATATCTGTGTATTCTCTGGGGAAGCAGGTAGTCCCTCCATCCTCCCTCAGCTGCTTCTGTGCATCCTCTGTCTTCCCCCGTCGTCCTCCTACCTCTGTACCCCCTCTTCTATCCATAGCTGTGGCCTGCCCCCTTTGCGCGCTCTTGTCTCCCTGCCGCTTTTCTCCCATGAAGGGTCGTGCCCTGTTCACACTCGATGTCGCGCCAACCCATTGCCTTTTTTCTTTATCTGCGTGGCCGACTTGGCTCTTACACGGTCCGCCTTGCCCAATGAGATGGTGCTCCGCCCGCTCCAGTTTGATTAATGGTGAAGGTGCCTTCCTGTGTGCTCCTACCTCGTGAACTGAAAACAACGGAAAGGTGGGGGCCCAAAAGTTTGCAGATCTGTGGTGGAGCCTCGCGTACTTCAGGGGAAATCCACAAAGTTAGCGAGTGGAGCACATCACACGAGGGCCACGAGGCCCAAAAAACAAAGGCTGCGCGCCACGGAAAGGTCGTGGAAAAGAAAACACGTTGGGCCCTGGGCCCAGCAGGGAAAGTGGCTTGTGGGACCGCGGTTCTTTATAAGAGCTTGGGAAATTAGTTAGAGCAGTCTGATGCCTGAGGGATGCACGGGGAGCTCTGCTCATGCGAGGGCCACGAGGCCCGAAAAACAAAGGCTGCGCGCCACGGAAACGTCGTGGAAAAGGAAACACGTCGGGCCCTGGGCCCACCAGGGAAAGTCTCTTGTGGGACCGCGGTTCTTTATAAGAGCTTGGGAGAGCAGTGTGATGCCTGAGGGATGCGAGGGGAGCTCTGCTCATGCCTTTGATGCTCCCCAATCCCCACCAGGAGATGGAGCCTATTATCGTGTTGCTGACCTCTTTGCAGGTGGGGTAATCCACGACAGGTGGGCATGGTGCAAATAAGATGTTGGAACAATATAAACTTTATTATAAAGAGAGTGAAAACAAAAAGTTAAAAACAAACTAGAAACCGGAACAATACAGAGAAGATTAGCATGGTCCCTGCGCAAGGATGACACCCATAAATTGAGAAATGGTCCAAAAAAAAAAAAAAAAAAAAAAAAAAAAACCCTCGAAATTTCAAATTTGTGTATTTTGCACACAGAGACACAGCAAGAGACAGAGGAGGACCTGGAGATTGTGTGGGCCTGTCATCCAGGTACCAGCAAACTGTGCGTGAGCCAGGGAGGCCGCTGGGCGATTCATCTCATGAGAGCATTATGATGACTGTATGATGATGATGATCATGATTGATGGCGATGATGACGTCTTTGATGTATCCATTGTTGTTAGCAGACGATGGTTGGGGTTGAAATTGCAGTTCGGTGATTGCTCATGCTGTGTGTGATCCTTCCCTTCCTACGGCTCTACTAGTACCAGCTTGGTGCTGTTAGAAGCGATGTCTGGAATGACTGGACCAGCAGCTTGTCTTCTCCGGTTAGGAGCAATGTCGTTGGAGTGTTTGGATTGGCGGTCGTCTTTTCCTCTTTTCAAGCAGACGGTTGATCGCGCTCTGTTCTGTTGCATGCTGACAGAGGGATCAAGGATTCATGCGTGTACGCTGTCAT